GGTTTCACCGTGTTGACCAGGATGGTCTCGATCTCTTGACCTCGTGATCCACCCGCCTCGGCCTCCCAAAGTGCTGGGATTACAGGCTTGAGCCACCGCGCCCGGCCCAGGAAGTGTGGAAATCTTTTGCTGTATTTGAAATACAGCACCTTTCCAATTTTATAGCACTTACAAGGAGCTTACAATTTGGTTTTTTAAACTCAAATACTTTGGACAGAATCGAGGCAAATGTTCATTCAACATTAAACACATGTTTATTGAGTACCTTTTGTGTTCTGTGATGATACAAAGATGAAATCAAGTATGCTTTTCAAATGCTTTTCCTGTAAAGAAGAAGGAATCAGAATTGAAGTTTGCAAGAATATTTCTCTTCAGCTAAGTGCTTATAGAGGGCCTGTGTGGGTCAGGATCTGTGTCAGAAGCTGAGTGAATGACATAGTCTGTTAATGAAGTTTTGGGTGCTTCAATAGTATTTGCAAACGTATCGTAGTTTATTGACATGCAACAGCCTCCTGCTTTGATAGACAAATTATAAATCATTTCTGGGGTAGTAACCCTGAGATACACATAAAATTGCCCTCTAATTGTTGGAACAAAATACTCCCATTTCTTTTAAAATTAATAAAAGTTTGTACTAATTGCTAGTAGAAAATACTCCATTTCTTTTTAAACATATGTGCCACATAAGGACATTTTTGTTTTATGAGATTATAATACTGTATTTTATTGTACCTTTTCTATGTTTAGATACACAAATGCCATTATGTTACAGTTGCCTACAGTATTTAGTACAGTAACATGCTGTACAGATTTGTAGCCTAGAAGTAATAGGCTGTGTGGTATAACCTAGGTGTGTAGCAGGCTGTACCTTCTGGGTTTGTGTAAATACAGTCTATGATGTTTGAACAACATCAAAATCACCTAATGACACATTTCTCAGAATGTATTCCCATTGTTTTATGGGTTTTTGTTTTTTGAGACAGGATCTAGCTCTGTGGCCCAGGATGGAGTGGAAGTGGTGTGATCTCAGCCCACTGCAACCTTGGCCTCCTGGGCTCAGGCTATCCTCCTCCCATCTCAGCCTCCCAAGTAGCTGGGGCTACAGGCTCACGCCACTGTGCCCGCTACTTTTTCTATTTTTAGTAGAGACAGGGTTTTACCATGTTTCCCAAGCTGGTCTCAAACTCCTGAACTCAAGCAATCTGCCCAGCTTGGCCTCCCAATGTGCTGGGATTACAGGTGTGAGCCACGGCACCCAGCCTAGAATGTATTCTCATTGTGAAGTGATGCACGACTTTAATTGAGATAGGTCTTTCTTTCTAATCTGAATTAGTTATATTTTGAAACTCTTATTTTGCACAGAGGAGTGATGATAGGGAAAAAATTTTTTTTAAGTATTTGGAGTGTTTTACATCAAAGTTAATACTGTCAGTAAATGGAAACCAATATTAATTTTTCAGCCTCATCGATTTTTTTGTTAGGTAGTAGGAGAACAGGAATGGACATTAATGCTTAGGGAGCACCAGGCACTGTTCTTTACATAAATGGTAGTGAGACGTTTTAGGAGTTAAATGAAACTCATTTGGGCAGCGACCCTGAAAAAAATCTGTGTTTTGCTCAACTCTACTCTGTGTCTGTTTAAGTAAAGTTTAATATATATATTTATGTGTAAAACCTCAGTAGCCGTACCTTCCTATTGTTCGCAGTTTCTGATTTCTCTTTGCCGTTGGTAAAGAACGCTGAATGTCAGGGTATATCACCAGGTATAACTTCACAACTCATTTCTCTGTGGTTTGGTGATGGTCTTAAAGACTTGTCTTTGCTTTAGTATAGTAAAACACATGCTAAATCAGAAGCACCCTAAATTTGCTATAAGTTGTTTTTGAGTGGTGTGACTGGAACCTATTGAAAATTAAATTTAAAAACAGATAAAAATTCTTAAGCCCAATATCAAGTGCTTGGATGTCATTAGAATACTCCATAGAGTTCACATTATATACTCACCAGAATTTTTGAAGATGGTAAAGAAAAGTTTGCTTATTGTTTGCATTTTTTTAAATGTACTTTGTAAATCTTCTCCCCAGCACCCAGGCTGAACTCTGTACCATTTGGAAGAATGGAAGCTGATGCGTCTGTTGACATGTTTTCCAAAGTCCTGGAGAATCAGCTGCTTCAGACTACCAAACTAGTGGAAGAACATTTGGATTCTGAAATTCAGAAACTGGATCAGATGGATGAGGATGAATTGGAACGCCTTAAAGAAAAGAGACTTGAGGCACTAAGGAAAGCTCAACAACAGAAACAAGTAACCTCTCTGCCCTGCTTTCTGAAATTGCTATAACAGTATGCGCCTAACAACTTATATATACATGTGCTGTAGTACCTACATTTCAATCTTTCTTTTAGGGATTTTGGGATTCATAGTACCTATTACTGTTAAAAAATTTCCCAGAAAAAATATGTTTTGAAGATACATTCAAAATTAGCCCAATCTCTGTATTAATCTACAGTCAAGTAAAAGAAAGATCTGCCCAAGATCGTTTTTCTGAGCTTAAATTTGTTTGGTTGAATGGAGGGCTAGGGAGTCATTGGTTTCCATTTCAGGTAATATTAAAGCCTATCACAATTTAGCTGTTTTCAAAGCAAATGAGATAACACCTGTGAGATAAGAGCTATTAAGTCAATTTATGTTGAAAAAATTATTTCAGGCATTTCCAACAAAATATTTATGTGGCATATTCAAAAGAATGCATGCTTTGTAACAAAGAAAGGTGGCCACAGCTCTATCCTTGTTGCCTCTTAGAATGTTCGTATAGAATAAATGCAGAGTTGTAAACTCTGATTGAAACCAATGGATTAAATCCTGTAAATTGAATTTTTTTCTCCTTTTTGAGACAGTCTCACTGTGACACCCAGGCTGCAATGCAGTGGTGACACCTCGGCTCAATGCAACCTCTGCTTCCCGGGTTCAAGCAGTTCTTCTGCCTCAGCCTCCCAAGTAGCTGGGACTACAGGCGCACACCACCATGCCTGGCTAATTTTTGTATTTTTAGTAGAGACAGAGTTTCACCGTATCGGCCAGGCTGCTCTTAAACTCCTGACCTCGAGTGATCCTCCTGCCTCAGCCTCCCAAACTGCTGGGATTACAGGCATGAACCACCACATCTGGCCAAATTCTGTAAATTGAATTTTGATTAAAACATATTTCCATTGGGTTACCTGGAAATACGTTATTGCCAACTCTGGTTCCTTTTTAGTTGACTGACTAAAACATGAGGCTTAACTTTTATGATGAAATAGGGAGTTTTGGCCAGGTATGGTGGCTTTCAAGTCTGTAATCGCAACACTTTGAGAGGCCAAGGTAGGCGGATAACCTGAGGTTTGGAAGTTCAAGACCTGCCCGGCCAGTGTGGTGAAACCCTGTCTCTATTAAAAATACAAAAATTAACCAGATGTGGTGGTGCGTGCCTGTAGTCTTAGCTACTTGGGAGGCTGAGGCAGGAGAATTGCTTGAACCCAGGAAGTGGAGGTTGCATTGAACCAAGGTTGTGCCACTGCCCTGCAGCCTCAACAATAGAGCTAGACCCAGTCCCCCCAAAAAAGAGACGGAGTTTTGTTTGTGTTACTTTAGCATGACTTTGATATGTTTACACTCTCATGTTTAGAACAGTTTATATGTTTAGAAGAGTTACTACGAAAGGAAGTAATCTTTTATGAGTGAGTCCAAATTTCTATATTTTGAGTTTTCTAAAATAGAGTATGTTACATGGCTTTTGCTTATACACTATTTTAGAAAATAGGTTGCTTTTCTTTCCTTTTTTTTTTTTGAGAGAGAGTCTTGCTCTATTACCCAGGATGTAGTGCAGTGGCATAATTTCAGCTCACTGCAGCCTCCATGTCCTGGGTTCAAGTGATTCTCCTGCCTCAGCCTCCCAAGTAGCAGAGATTACAGGTGCCCGCCACTACACCTAGCTAATTTTTGTATTTTAGGAGAGGTGGGATTTCACCATGTTGGTCAGGCTGGTCTCAAACTCTGACCTCAGATGATTCGCCTGCCTTAGCCTCCCAAAGTGCTGGGATTACAGGTGTGGGCCACCCTGCACCAGGCCCACTTGGCTGCTTTTCATAGTATAGGGCTGATAGTTAGTATGCAGAGGATGAATTATTGAAATTTAAGGTAATATATGTTTAGGTTCTGCCACAAACTCATATTTCATGATTACATTTAAGTACACTGTTAATTGCTAATTTGCAACTGAAAATAATTATTCATAACGAGGATATTTTGTAGAGAGACTATGAATTCACCTGATTTGCAGTGATGAACATACATTAAATAATGTCTTAAAGGAACTTTTTGGCAGTTCAAAACAGTGGTCTGAATATTTATGGTTAAAACCAACTAAGTCAGGGAGGCTGGATATAGGCCTTTTTTTATTATTAATGTATAAATCAATTTAAAATGCATTTCTCATGGAGTAATTTAGAGGTTCTTATTTTAGAACTTTCATTGCATTTTAATAGATCTTTTTTATTAAAATGTCTTCTGAAAGTAGGCAAGAAGCCTAGTGATTTGTGTAGATATTCTTTTTATAAGAGATTATACAGTAATTAGATTATACAGACATTTTGACTTTTTGATCCACGACGATATTGGCGAGATCAGTGTATGCAGTGACTTATACTCAGCACTTAATAGGCCTAGGTGAACCTATATTCTTCTCTCAGCCAAGCACCCTCCTACTCTTAACTAGAGCTGGCGCACATAGGTAGGGAGCAGAGGAATAACGTAAGAAATAGGAGGAGTTAAGCAGAGGCTTGGGTGATGGCCACTGAGAGCCAGGTGCTGCCCAGCTGCCATACCTCAGGTAGGCCCATCCTGCCTCATTCCATTCTGCAAGTACCTTAGGAGCACATGCTGTCCATAAGGGGCTATGCTAAGAGCACAGGGGTGTAGTGAATGTGTCAGCAGAGGCCCTGAGCATTGGTAGAGGTTCAGAATGGGCACATCCTCCCTCAAAAAAGCCAGGACAGTTTCAGGCCTTCAGCCTCTTGATTAAACACTTGAGAATAAATATTGAAAAGAAATAGCGGCTTTTTTTTTTTTTAGACAGAGTCTTGCTCTGTTGCCCGGCTGGAGAACAGTGGCACAGTCTTGGCTCACTGCAACCTCCACCTTCTGGGTTCAAGAGAGTATTCTGCCTCAGCTTGCCTAGTAGCTGGGATTACAGGCACCTACCACCAAGCCCAGCTCATTTTTGTATTATTAATAGAGACGGGTTTCCCAATGTTGGCCAGACTGGTCTTGAACTCCTGACCTCAGGTGATCCGCCAACCTCAGCCTTTCACAGTGTTGAGATTACAGGTGGCGAGCCACCACACCTGGCCTAGAAATAGCAGCTTTTTAAAAGACAAATACTTTTTTTTTTTTTTTTTTTTTTGAGAAGGGTCTTGCGCAGTCACCCAGGCTGGAGTGCAGTGGCATGATCTCAGCTCACTACAACCTCTGCCTTCAGGGTTCAAGCGATTTTTGTGCTTCAGCCCCCGGAGGAGCTGCGATTACAGGCGTGTGCCACACACCTGGCTAATTTTTGTATTTTTTGTAGAGACGGGGTTTCACCATGTTGCCCAGACTATTCTTGAATTCCTGTCCTCAAGTGATCCACCTGCCTCAGCCTCCCAAAGTGCTGAGATGACAGGTGTGAGCCACTGCACCCAGCCTAACAAATACTTTTTAAGGGCACATATCATTGGTAAATTGCAAAAGCAGTCATGAAACTTCATATGCCAAAGAAAATATCAGGGTCTCCTGTGCGTGTCGGTTCAACATAAGCGGATGTGATTTGGACACCACAGTTGTTATAGTCTGGGCCATGTTCATTGACATCCAAAGGAGGAAGGGAGATGGCCTTCCTAGCTCTTTGGTTGTACCTCCTTCTAGAGGGCTGGATGGAGACATCTGTCACATTTTAAGAAGACATGAGCGTGTTTAGATGATATCCTGGAAGAGTAGGAATTCTAGAAATCTTTTCATATGAGAATGATTGTAAGGAACTGGAAGTGTTCAGTGTGGAGAAGGGAAAACTTAGGCAATGTGTGATGTTTGAAGGGCCGACATGGGAAAGAGATTAAAACTTTAATCTTTGTTCAAGCTGGAAGCCACAGACCAGAGTTATGAATATATTGCAGTTCATTGTGAGAAGCCCTTCCTAACGATTAGTACAGGTGCAGATGCTTTTTAAACATTTCTAAGGTGGTTATCAAAAGCAGACAGGACTCTTGCCCTTCAGAGCTGCAGTAACCACTTTCCATCCCCAAGAGAAGGCTTTATCTCATAAGCATTATTTTTATTTTTTACTTTTTTCTTTTTATTTATTTTTGAGACAGAGTCACTCTGTTGCCCAGGCAGTGGTATGATCTCAGCTCACTGCACCCTCTGCCTCCCGGGTTCAAACAATTCTCCTGCATCAGCCTCCCTAGTGGCTGGGATTATAGGCACCTACCACCGTGGCCAGCTAATTTCTTGCATGTTTTTTAATAGAGACAGGGTTTCGCCGTGTTGGCCATGCTAGTCTCGAACTCCTGACTTCAGGTGATCTAGCCACCTCGGCCTCCCAAAGTGCTGGGATTATAGGCGTGAGCCACCATGCCCAGCCTCATGAGCATTATTTTTAAAAGACTTGTAGTAACTTGGATCAAATATTTCTGATGTTAGTAGTTTAAGAGTACATGGATAAAGTTAAGTGGACATTTACATTCTGAGTCTCTCAAGTCTAAATTTTTATTTTTGAGGTTATGAGAAAAACAAATACTTTTAGTTATCAAGACAGGTAATTATCTTGAACCCAGGCCATGCTGTGGAGACATTCACTGCCCATAGACTAGTTTTGCATTGACAGTAGAAGCAGGAAAGGAAACTGCTAAAAGGAATTCATTTCTCTATAAGATAAAATTGACTTCAGCCAGGCACAATGGCTCATGCCTGTAATCCTAGCACTTTTGGAGGACAAGGTGGGAGGATTGCTTGGACGTAGACATTTGAGACCAGCCTGGGCAATATAGTAAAACCCCATCTCTACCAAAAAAGAAAAATAAATTAGCCAGGCATGGTGTGGCATGTGCCAATGGTCCCAACTCCTTGGGAGATGAGATAGGAGGATCTCTTGAGCCTAGGAGGTTGAGGCTGCAGCGAGCTATAAGCATGCCACCACACTCCATCCTGGGCAACTGTAGCGAGATCCATTCTCAACAATAAAAAACACTTAAAAAAATGTATTTCAAAATACAATGGTGATTTAGACACTTAAAATGTCAAGTGGTGCTGAAAGAGATATTTCACATGTGTAATGTTTTCCTTCTCTCCAAATTAGGAATGGCTTTCTAAAGGACACGGAGAATACAGAGAAATCCCTAGTGAAAGAGACTTTTTTCAAGAAGTCAAGGAGAGTAAAAAAGTGGTTTGCCATTTCTACAGAGACTCCACATTCAGGTAACTTGGTTTCCATTCGTGACTTTTTCTCGAAGAAAAAAAAAAAACTTTTTTAAAAAAAAAAAAAAAAAAAAAAAAAAAAAAAAAAACACACACAATCAGCTGTTTGAATAGAGATATACTAGCTTAATAGAGAAATGAAGAAAACTAAAAGAAAATAGTTGTTTCATTGTACTCTCTCATATGTTATTTAGTATTAAGTTAGGCAGCCTGGGCCCAGTGGCTAAAGCCTGCAATCCCAGCACTTTGGAAGCCCAAGGCAGGGGGATCACTTGAAGTCAGGAGTTCAAGACCAGCCTGGCCAACATGGCGAAACTACAAAATTAGCCAGGTGTGGTGGCAAGCACCTGTAGTCCCAGATACTGGGGAGGCTGAGGTGGGGCAATTGCTTGAACCTGGGAGACAGAGGTTGCAGTTAGCCAAGGTTATGACACTGCACTCCAGCTCGGGCAATAGAGTAAGACTCCATCTCAGAAAAAAGAGAGAGAGAGAGAAAAGTTAAGCAATTGTTATTTTAAAGAGTAACTTAACAATTACATGCAAAAATATAAATGAATATTATTGAATGTATTCCCATATAAATAGCTATATTTTTGAATTATATTTTCACTAGCTAACTCTAAAAACATCTTAGAAATGTACACTTAAAATTCTTATCATCATGACAATAATTATTTCCATCTAGTATTGTGATCAGCCACGATGTTGGGAACCAGGAACAGCTGTTGAGAGTCAGTGTTCTTTCACTCAGTCCTTCTCAGCTAACAACTGTAATAGAAAGATGGTGGCTTGGCCAAACCTTTCACCAAAGCAGAGTTGGGACTGCCAGTCTTGGCTAGAAGGAGAAGTGATTTTTCTTAGACCACCCTAGGTCTCCAAATCTCTCTAAGGAGGCAAATCCCTTATAAAATATTAATACCTCCCCAGAAGAGGTTACGTCTTAAACCAAAGGACCCAAGCCTTTGTGGTTTTGCCCACAGATTTGATTAGTTACCAACACTTAAAAATTGAGAGATAAACCCTTTGGAAAATATTCACATTCAGAATTTTTCTTTAAAAAACTCAGAAAACTATAATAGCAGAGTTGAAACTATAATGCCAGGCTTCTGCTAACAGGCAGCTGCCCCCCGAAACAGACAAGTAGTGTGCTCTAGCATCTCTGGCACTCACTGTGGTGTCAGCCCTGCTGTCTTTCTCATTTTGTGGCCTGCCTGCCCCTTTTTCTTGACCTTTCAACCCAGTAGCTTCATTGTTAGTTGACACCTTTCAAGAACTGATTCCTGGGATTCATTGACTAAGAGAATAAAAATGAAAGAAAATATTGAGATGGTAATATCTCTTGTGAGGAACAGAGAGAGAAGGGATTAGGCAGGCAGAAGGGTATCAGAGAAACCCTCTGCCCTTGTGGTACACAACCATCTCCCATTGCCACACATTCCTCAAGTTGCCAACCTTTCACAAATATGATGAAGTGATATGTAAATATACTGGTATATAAAATATTACTTGTCCACTTTTTTTTTGTTTGGTTTTGGGTTTTATTTTTTTGGAGTGGGGGTTGTTTTTTTGTTTTTTTAGGGTTTTGTTTTTGTTTTTGTTTTTTTTTTGGTTTTTTGTTTTTGTTTTTTGAGATGGAGACTTACATGGTCGCCCAGACTGGAGTGCAATGGCAGGATTTCGACTCACTGCAACCTCCACCTCCTGGGTTCAAGGGATTCTCCTGCCTCAGCCTCCCAAGTAGCCAGGACTACAGGCACCTGCCACCACACGCGGCTAATTTTTGTATTTTTAGTAGAGACGGAGTTTTGCCATGTTGGCCAGGCTGGTCTCAAACTCCTGACCTCAGGTGATCCACCCATCTTGGCCTCCCAAAGTGTTGGGATTACAGGCGTGAGCCACGACACCCAGCCTCACTTGTTTTTTCTATGTCTTACCCAACTAAATTGTTGGTTTTGTAGAGGCAGAGCATTTGCCTGTATTGTGGCCTACTGTGCTCTGGGATCATAGCCCTAAAGCAACTGCCTGACACATAGTAGGTGGTCAGTAAACTCATTTGATGGGTGTATAAACAGTGCATCATCAGGAGTACTCACCTTCAAATGGAACTGAAAAATTAAAATCAAAATCATCCAGTTAATTTTATATATTAGCAAAGTTCCTCATACATAGTAGGTGGAATGCTTTTGTGAATATTATCCCTGGAACAGTCACAGTAATCTTCAGAGGCACTCATTTCATGTGTGGAAACCAAGGCTTGGAGAAATTAAGTGACTCACCTAATATCACTCAGATACTAAATGATAAAACAGAGGGAGAGACTTCAACCCAGCCTACTGCTTTTTTTTTTTAATTTTTAGTTATTGTGGCCAATAGTAGGTAAATATGGGATACATGAGATATTTTAACACAGGCATGCAATGTGTAATAATCACTTCAGGATAAATGGAGTATCCATCATCTCAAGCTTTTATCCTTTGTGTTATAAACAATCTAATTATGCTTGTTATTTTTAAATGTACATAAACGTCTATAACTATACCATGACTGTTGCTTTTTTTAATTTTTAGAAATTGATTGACAAATGGTATAATTATAGACTTATTTAAAATAGGTTCCTGGTGGGGCATGGTGGCTCACACCTGTAATCCCAGCACTTTGGGAAGCTGAGGCAGGTGGATCACCTGAGGTCAGGAGTTCGAGACCAGCCTGACCACTATGGTAAAACCCTGTCTCTACTAAAAATACAAAAATTAGCCAAGCTTGGCGATGGGTGCCTGTAATCCCAGTTACTCAGGAGGCTGAGACAGGAGAATCGATTGAACTCAGCAGGGGGAGGTTGCAGTGAGCCGAGATTATGCCACTGCACTCTAGCCGGGGTGACAGAGTGAGACTCCAACTCAAAAATAAATAAATAAATAAATAAAAGTTCATCATAATGAACACCTAGGGTTAAGAACCACCAGTCTTAAAGATTATTGCAACAGTCTGTTTTAGAAATAGTCATGAATTGGCCAGTTGAAAGTGAATTTTTTTTTGAGACAGAGTCTCACTCTGTTGCCCAGTCTGGAGTGCAGTGGCGCAATTTTAGCTCACTGTAACCCCCACCTCCCAGGTCAGAGCGATTCTCGTGCCTCAGCCTCCCGTGTAGCTGTGATGACAGGTGCCCAACATGACACCCAGCTAAGTTTTACATTTTTAGTAGAGATAGGGTTTCACCATATGGACCAGGCTGGTCTTGAACTCTTGGCCTCAAGTGATCTGCCCACCTCAGCCTCTCAAAATGCTGGGATTACAGGCATGAGCCACTGCATCAGTGGCCAGAAAATAAATTTTAATATAAAGAAGATGTCACTTTTTCGTTTGTTTGTTTTGTTTTCTTGAGATGGAGTCTCACTTTGTTGCCCAGGTTGGGGTGCAATGGCACAATCTTGGCTCACTGCAGCTTCTGCCTCCCAGGTTCAAGCAATTCTCCTACCCCAGGCTCCCAAGTAGCTGGGATTACAGGCCCACACCACCATACCCAGCTGATTTTTTTAATTTTTAGTTGAGACAGGGTTTCACCATGTTGGCTAAGCTGGTCTCAAACTCCTGTCCTCAAATGATCCGCCCGCCTCAGCCTCCCAAAGTGCCGAGATTACAGATGTGAGCCACCATGCCCAGCCAAGAAAATCTTACTTCTGTTTCCCTCTTCATTGGAAGGTAGCTTAATAGAAGTTACTATGGGTATTTTTTAATTCCCTAAAAGCATAATGGCCAAATTTATTTAAATATTATTAGTAACCCTTAGTCTTAGTGTGCTTCTTACTGACAGAGTTTCATATTTAGGAATAAGGAGTTTTTCCTCAGTGATGCTATTCAGTTTTTCTTCATGACTTCCAAATATGGCACCATGTGTGCATTTCTGATTTTTGTTAGTCTCTTCTGAGTTCTGTGAAGTTTCAGTTTGTCCCTTCTCAGGTTTTCCTGTACGAGATAGGACAACTTCCTTTATGACTTAAAGCATATATTTAATATTTTAAAAGATAATATCATTAATGCAAATCTGACTTTCTAGAATCTTATAGGCTGTTTTCCCATCTCATAATCAGGCAGCTAACCTTTGATCTGGAACTGAGGTCATCTGACACACCTGTAGGTTGGCTGCCATGTTATGAGACTCAACAGAAAAACTATATAATTATTAGATTTACCTAATGACATTTATTTTGGAAAAAAGAGATTTGTGGTTTATTTTATAATTTTCTATATGGTTACTTACAGGTGTAAAATATTAGACAGACATCTGGTGATATTGTCCAAGAAACACCTCGAGACCAAATTTTTGAAGCTGAATGTGGAAAAAGCACCTTTCCTTTGTGAGAGACTGCGTATCAAAGTCATTCCCACACTAGCACTGGTAAAAGACGGGAAAACACAAGATTATGTTGTTGGGTTTACTGACCTAGGAAATACAGATGACTTCACCACAGAAACTTTAGAATGGAGGCTCGGTTGTTCTGACATTCTTAATTACAGGTAACTTTTAACAAAAGATCATACTGATTTTAGTTCATATATAGCTGATATTTTTACAGAGGACTTTTGTATTGTAACATTTATTTTATGAAATTAAGACCTTTTGGCTAAGGTATAGAATGTTTCTCAAAGGAAAAGCGTATTTCTTAAAGCATGTGTTATTAGTATGATTTTACAGCAAAATCAGATTTACAGATAAAACTGATTTTATAAGTAAAAGTGAATCTCACAGTACTCCTGACTATAAAAGTTTTCAGCTTAACATATGCTATTGAAACTAATTTTGTATTAATCTGGAAACTTAAAATGGCAATCTCTAGTTGACTGTTCCCTAATTTAAGCCAGATTACTCAAATGGACACTGACTGAAGTGATTCTCTTTGATAAAATAAAAATTAAAAATACACTATTGCAAAGAAAGTTATATATTAAAATACTAGATTTTTAACTTAGTATTTCCCATTTTGCTTATAGAAGCTGATAAATACAAAAGGTTTCTATGCCTAGCTTGTATTACTTGCTATGAAGAACAGTTTTAGTTTGAAAACAATTCAAAATCCAACTTTCATTTCTTTATCTACTACTTCAGACAAATAATTTATTTAATTACACAAATCAGAGCATATCATCTTGTCTTTTTTGCCTTTTCTTGATTTGCAAAAGTAACAGGTAAAATTGTGCAATCTTTCCAGAGTCATGGTGCCTTTCAAGAAGTAGAAGTTTCTCACTTTTTTCTCTCTGCCCCATTTCCCTCCCCTCTTTTCTCTGACTCTCCTAGACATGCCGAAATAATTCCTATGTTGTAGAAATTGGTTTCATTTTCTTAATATTAACATAAATATTAATGTTTATTAAAGTTACATTTCAGGGTAATTTTAAACATTAAACAAACTGTGTACAGGCAAGTGGCTCACTTCTGTAATCCCAGCACTTTGAGAGGCTGAGGTTGGCAGAATTGCTTGAGGCTAGGTGTTTGAGACCAATCTGGGCAGCATAGTGAGATGAGACCTCATCTCTACAAAAAGCTAGTAGAAACAAAGCCCTGCAAACTAGTACAAAGAATCCTCATTGTCCCTTTGCCCATATTACCCAATTTTAAACATTTTATATTTGTTTTATCATTGCGTAGATACTGTGAAGCATTTGGGGGACCATTTGAGTAGAAGTTGTGGATACAGTGTCCCTTTCCTCCTAAAGACTTCCATATGTATTTCTGAAGAACATTTTCCTTTTTTTTTCTTTTCCACTTAAAAAAACATTTTATTTTTATTTTATTAACTTATTTATTATACTTTAAGTTCTGGGGTACATGTGCAGAACATGCAGGTTTGTTACATAGGTATACACGTGCCATGGTGGTTTCCTGCATCCTTCACCCCTTCAAGACTTCCATATGTATTTCCTAAGAACATTTCCTTACATAGCCATAGTACAATTATGAAAACAGGAATTACTGTGTAATTTACAGCTCTTACTTCAAATGTTATCATTGTCTCAATAATGTCCTTCATACCAAAAATGCAGCACATTTAGTTATTATAGCTTTAGTTACCATTGTTATTCTTTGGTTCTTAAGACTGATGTTTTTGAGGAGTACAAACTGTTTATTTTGGAGAATATCTCCAAGTTTGGGTTTGTCTTATATTTCCTCAAGATTGGATTCAAATTATCTATTTTTGACAGGCATGTTATGGAAGTGATGCATCATATCAGGAGGTATGCGATGGTTTCTCTCATTTCTGGTGACAGCTGAGCACTGTGCTAACCAAATGTTAATTCATAATGAATGATAAAAAGGAAAATAGGTCTGGTGCACTGGCTCACGCCTATTATCCTAGCACTTTGGGATGCCAAAGCAGGAGGATCGCTTGAGCCTAGGGGTTCAAGACCAGTCTGGGCAATATAGTGAGATGTCATCACTACAAAAAATTTAAAAATTAGCTTAGCGTGGTGGCACATGCCTGTAGTCCCAGCTGCTCAGGAGGCTGAGGTGGGAGGATTGCTTGAGTCCAGGAAGTAGAGGTTGCAGTGAGCCGTGATCACACTATTGCACTTCAGCCTGGGCCACAGAATGAGACCCTGTCTCAAAAAGGAAAATAATATTAATCTAAAACAAATTTAATAGTACAAAATAAGGTTTAAGGCTATTAACCATCAATATAAGCATTATACCTCTTCCTTGACACCAGCATTTTAAAGAAATTTTATTCTTTATGTTACAGGAAGGAAACAAAGTTAGATTTTTGTGCAGTTTAGCATACTAGTACTAAATCATAAAGAATAAAATGCTTTTTCTATTTTTTTTTTTTTTTTAATTTTTAGTGGAAATTTAATGGAGCCACCATTTCAGAGCCAAAAGAAATTTGGAACAAACTTCACAAAGCTGGAAAAGAAAACTATCCGAGGAAAGAAATATGATTCAGACTCTGATGATGATTAGAGCTCATTAATTCTTTGTAAATTGTCTTTTTTCTTCTGCTTCAGATTTAAATGTGTTTTCTAAATTCTATTAATGTCTATACATTAGTCGTCTAAATACTCATATTCTCGAATTTTATACAGTTGTATCACATTGAAAGGTATCTTTACTATTTTCCGTGTGGCCATCATGTTTAAGTTGAAGAAAACTTCCCCGTTCTTAAATTATCTGGGACGGGTCTGGATTCTCTATTTTTGAGATTGACTTTATCACAATAGGAGTCATACACCTTTATACCATTCACAATCGTGTTTTTGATCTACAGAGTTAGAAATTCAAAAACTATTCCAGGACTAATTAATTGGCATTATTTATACAACAGGTCAAGTAACATTTACTGGTGCAATACTGCACTTGTAAATGAATTCTAAACACTTCACTTCTGGAATATATTTAAGTAGCTATTAAAGAACTGGTTATTCTGGTCACTGCATGTTGGTGTTGAATCAACTGATGCCAGCAGAAAGCTATTTTGGGTTGTGAACATACTGCCTTATTTAAAGGGTCCTGATTGCTTGTATTTTAAACATTAATTAAAAAGAAATCAGGAAAGACTTTTGAAATAACAGCATAAGGAACTCCAGTGTCTCTGCTCAATAAAATACTTGTAACTGGAAGTTTAAATTTATATGAAAATTGTCATAAAAGCATACATCCAACAAAAACATTTTTTCAAGTCTACTAAATCTTAGTAAGAATAGGGATTCTGTGGCATTTGAGCCATGACTCCATTCCCTCTCTCCAGTTCTCAATCCTGGACTACAGTTTCTCCTCTGGAAGAATAGGTTACTAGCATGACTCATTCCCTCAAGCTCTGTGTTGCAGAAGCCCTTTTGCAAGCAAAAGTAGCCAACAGATTTAGGGCTCTCCTTCCTCCACCTAGTCCCCGCTTATGGCACAGAGAATCTACCCCAGGAATAGCAGACTGAGAATACTGGGCCTCAATTGCTTTTGCCCCAGCTTACTCATAGGATGAAGGTTCTTTACTTGTATACAGGGTGATGGTTCCATGCAAGAAGATGCACTTGGAGGAGACCAAGAGCTGTATCACCCTTTTACCCCTTGTAGACTGTGGGCATAACTCCTAGAAAAGCAGGCCACTGTCTCCATCCCTAGCTCTGGAGCAGCAGAAGAGAGGTTTTGTGCATTGGAAATGGCAAGTCATAAAAACACCTCGGTAACACTCCCTAAAGGGACTATTTAGAGCAGAATGAGGGAAGATGTTCAAGTGTAAGGGTGCCACCAAATACAATGGATCTGGGAAGGGGGACTATTAAGAGCAGACTGATAGCTCTCTGATGGCAACGATCAAAAGGGAATGTCAACAAGCTCAACAAATAAGAGAAAGAGCCTGGCATGGTGGCTCACACAAGTAATCCTTGCACTTTGGGAGGCCAAGGTGGGCAGATCACTTTAGGAGTTTAAGACCAGCCTGGCCAACCTGGTGAAACCTTGTCTCTACTAAAAATTTAAAAATTAGCCAGGCATGGTGGCACATCCCTTTAATTCCAGCTACTCGAGAGGCTTGAAGCACGGGAATCACTTAAATCCAGGAGGTAGAGGTTGTAGTGACCCAAGATTACACCATTTCACTCTAGCTTGGATGATGGAGTGAGACCCTATCTCAAAAAAAGGCTACTCTACAGGGGCCTGAACTTAATTAGATTAAACTGTGCAGTGACTTGTGCCCCAGAGCATTGTGAGATACGATGGAGTGGCCAGGTATGGTGGCTCATGCCTGTAATACCAGCATTTTGGAACGTGGAGGCAGGAGGACCACTAGAAGCCAGGAGTACAAGAGCAGCCTGGGCAACATAGTGAGACCTAAAAAATGAAAATAATAAGAGTAGTTAGCTAGTAAATTAGTGGGTGCTAATAGTAGGTTGTGGTAACAAAAGAGGTTCTAACTAACTAGAACCTTTCCAAAAAGATCAGGAAAAGGTAAAAGAGCCCTATCCAAACCACTGTCCTTGTCCTTGGGGCTAGAGGGAGTAGTCATGGTGACTGCCCACGCCCAGACTGTATTGTGAGGAGGAACATCAGAGGCTGCATACTTCAGGGTAAGTGGATTTAACTGAAATCAGCCAAAAAACTAAACAAGAAAAAATGCACTGGAGGGTAGGGAGTGGGGGTTAAAGGGAAATTAGTGTCAAGAGCTGTTATGACATAGTATCTAAAATATCCAGTTCTCAACAACAAATTACAAGACATGCAGAAGAACAGGAAATTAATCCATACAAGTAGGGAAAAAGCAATCAAAAGAAACTGAGAGGTTCAATAGGTTGGAAACAGATAAAAATTTCAAAGTGTTCATTCTTTATAAAATTATAAGTGTGTTCCAAAAAATCTAAACGAAACTGCCGGAGGTAAAGGAAGGTATGCTTACAATATTCCATCAAACAGAGAATATCAACAAAGGAATTTAAAAGGGCCAAATTGAAATTCTAGAGTTCAAAAGTAAAGCAACTGTAATGAAAAATTCATTAGAGGAGCTCCACAGTAGATTTGTGTTCACAGTAGAAAGATTTAGCAAACTATTGGAAGAAATTATGCTTGAAAATCCAATATTTGATGAAAACATTAATCCAAGAAGATCAAATTGTAAGATAACAGAGATAGATCCATACCAAAACTGTAGTAAAAACAATGAAAGAAAAAAATCTTGAAAACAAAAAAACTACTCATTGTGTATAAGAAAACCCATTGGCCCAGCCAGCCGTGGCTTACTCCTGTAATCCCAGCACTTTGGGTGCTTGAGGCCAGGAATTCAAAACCAGCTGGGCAATATAGTGAGACTCTCATCTCTACAAAAAAATTCAAAAAAATTAGCCAGATGTGGTGGCATGCAACTGTAGTCATAACTACTCTACAGGCTGAAGCAGGAGGATCATTTGAGCCCAGGAGTTTGAGGCTACAGTGAACTATGATTGCACCACTGTACTCCAGCATGGTCAACAGAACAAGACTGTCTCAATTATTTTTTCTCATTTTTCAATGATCTTAAGTTAAAAAAAAAAACAATACATGCAAAGCTTTATTTTATGAGTCAAAGACTTGTTATTGAGTCTTAAGATTGTAATACTGCCCCTGGCCAAGTTAATCTGCGGATTCAACAAATTAAAAAAAAAAAAACCCCACTCCCAGATACCTTTTTGCAAAAATTGATAAGTTGATCTTAAAATTTATGTGGACCCAGAGTAGCCAATATAATTTTGAGAAAGAACATATTTGGAGAACTCACACGTTCATATTAAAACTTAGAGCAAAACAGCAATTGTAAGACAGGCATAGAGATAAATAGAATTAAAAGTCAGAAATAATCCCTTGTGTCTTGTGGGCAATTGATGTTTGGCAAAAGTGCCAAGACAATTCAAATGGGAAAGAATAGTCTCTTCAACAAATGGCTTTGGGACAAGTAAAAACTGACCCCTGCTTTATGTGATCTACAAAAAACTCTAAATGTGTCAAACACCTAAATATAAGAATTAAAACTACAAAACTTTGAAAATCTAAGAGTAAATCTTCACAACTTTGGGTTACACAAGGCTTCTTGATGTGACATCAAAAGCACAGGTCACAAAAGAAAAAATAGATGAACATCAAATATAAAAATGTTTTTGCTGTAATTGATACCATCAGATTAGAATAATAACTCAGAATTGGAAAAATATTTGCAAATCATATATCTGATAAAATGTATCCAGAATATGTAGAGAATTCTTTCAACCCAATAAGAAGAATACGAACACCCAATTTAAAAAATGAGTAAAGAATCTTCCCAAAGGAAATGGACAATTGGCCAATAAGTCCATGAAAATATGCTCAAATCATTAACCATCAGGGAAATGTAAATCCAAATAGCAATGACATCCCACTTTGCACCAGCTAGGATGATAATAATAAAAAAGGCAGACAAGTGTTGGCAAGGATGTGTAAAAATTGGAACCCTTATGCATTGTTTTAGGATTGTAAATTGCTTCAACCACTTTATAAAAGAGTGGCAGTCTCTCAGAAAGTCATACATAGTTATTAGCCCAATAATTTCACTCTTTATTTTTCCTTTTCCTTTTTCTTTTTCTTTTCTTTT